GCATGTAAGGATTTTAGGAGAGGATAAAATGGCAATAAAACAGAATACCTACTGAAAAGAGCAAAATTCACACTGGTGTAATACTGAAAAATAATGTATTAACTTTTAATAATTTCTTTTACTGAAAAAAGCCTTTTACTGTGATATAAACTAAAATATTACACAACAAATCGTTTTAGATTATTGGAAAATGAACATTTTTCCCCTGCTAATTGCACTAGCAACAGACACACTATTTGATGCCTGAGGGAATTCTTATGAAGCTATTCTCACTACCAAAGTGTCTGCTATTATTAAGACCCAGAGTATAAAATACAAGATAAAGTGCACTATGGCAAACAAGGTTGCCAAGATACTAATCCAAGGTTGCTCTCAATATCATGAAAAAATCATAACATGTTTCTATCTTAAAAACTATCCTCAAATTGACTCAGACACTTGAGGTGGCTAGATGGCTTAGCAGATTTCTACTCAGTGTAGCAGGACTGCATTGTCACTAACAGGCATCTCTCTGCTCAGCTGTATTTTCAGGATCCTCTTAGAATCAAAACAAAGTAGAAATTGAGGAAATCATCTGAGTTTCTGTAGCTCAGCAAGCTACTTTTGCAAACACATACTAAGCATTAAAATTTATACTCTTTAAAAAATGCACAAATAAAATAATGCAGATTTGCATACCAGGAAAATAGTGTTTTCCTTGATGTCAATAAAAATTGAGTGCAGTGGATTAGCAGTACAAATGGGAGACAGCATGTGTAGTTGGTTTTTTTAGCTTAGGAATAGAATTTTAGGTTTTTATATAGCAGTGGCCACATAATTCTCTGTGTTCCCCTCCTTCACTATGTCAGGAAGGGACATTCCAGTGCCACCTGCAGTGAAGCAGCCATAGGCAAAGCTGGATAGCCACCATTTCCATATGCTCTTACTACCCTACATACCCTACATACTCCACACTTCCAGTGGAGAATGACAGGTCAGTCTACATCACAGCTGGTCAGCTTCTCACATCCTCATGCACTCACATCCTCAGGCACCATTTTGCATGCCATGGCAGCTCATGTGCAACAACTGGCTCCATGACTCTCCATAAGTCACTTACGGGGTTTCACAGATCCATACAAATTGGGACCAGGGACACTGGACGGATTCCAGTGAAGAGGAAAAATCTCAGCCGCATATCCCAACTATGTCCAGTGTATAGCAGAATCAAGTCACACATTAGCATCTCCAGCAAGCAGACAGGAACTGGAATGGCAGAGTACAGAAGTAAAACAGCATTCAAAGACTTGTGGTAACTCAGGGCAGACATAATGACACTTCCATGTTAGAACGGCAGTTTCTGCACAAGGAAATGGTCAATTCTACTTGTGAGTGATTTTGTTGGCATAAGGCTGATTTCTCCTTCACTTGCATGGACTTTGAAGATTCACTTTTGTAACAGATGCTAAAAAAGATGCTGTTTAAAAGCTGCTTAACAGAACTAGTCATTATATGAAGAAGTACAATTAATTTGCTCAACCTGGAGAAAATAAGGTATATGAGAGCATAGAAAAGTCACTTCTGCAATTTCATTTTTCCTTATGATAACTGCCTCTCAGACACATCTCATCCATAGCCATCAGACCATAAAACTAGGCTATTAAGTTAAAACTTGCACTTTAAAAATCCACAAAACCTTGTGCTAGGAATATGAACCGTGACCCCTTTAGTTATTTAGGAGATCTAGGCATTTTCAACATTATTACAAGGGGCCATTAGAAGGACCGAATCCATAATCTTTATTGATTTAAGAGTCATCCAGCTGTACTTATCTAAGCGTTACTCAAGTGAGCTACTGTTGCGAGATTATGACTTTCAGAGTTTTACATTTATACTAGAAGGGAGCCAGAAAACTAAATGTTAGATCCAGCATCTAAATTTGAAGCCTAAGGTCTCATTAACTTCAATTCAGTTTCTTTTGTGTCTATCTCCCATTTACCTCACTAAATTTTCTTGTTTGCTCTGGGTATAATAGTGAGAGCAGATCACAGACAAGTGAGAAACCATTCAGTGAGAAGGAGCTACAAAAGTGATTAAACCGTTTTTCTGTGGTTTATGATGGCTTTTTTTCCTTTTTGAAATTTTCCCTAGACATGTGTAGGAATACTTATATATATATTTTGCAAGTGTTGACTTCCTGCAAACATTGCAAGGATAGCACAGCAATCAAAATCATCATCGTTTTAAAGTTATCCATAGCCACGTTTCCTAGACAGAAAATGGACAACGTGATCAGTTAGTACTGCAGTTCCAGTGAATTTAGTATTGCATACTTTATTTGTCTTCAAAAAAACCCCTTTTACCTTTTTCTGCTTGTTTTAAAATACTTGACCCATCTTTTATTCCACACAGAACTACCTCAAAGCTGAATCCACACAGTTTGAGAAGTTCTCCTTGGGGGGAGCTCAATATTAACACAGGAGGACACACTGTTTTCCTGTTTACAGTATGCTTTGGTTCTGCATATAGTCTTAAAAAAATCCACTACTTCAGTACTATGAGATTATTACTATTAGCCATCAGCTAACAATCATTCTAACAAAACCACAGGCAATGTCTCTGCCACCAAAGATACTTCAAAGATTGATGGCTCGAACTTGCCTTGAAGCATTACGGAAAATGACTAACATACTAATGAACATCACAAAGTGTTATTGTTAACACTGAGAAAACCATTCTAGCTCAAATTCTCAAAGGTACTTGGAGAATTTTACTGTTAACTTCAAAAGAGACAGGATTTCAACCTCAGATTTTTTTCTCCTGACTCTCAGAAACCGCTTTACCGCTTTCTAACTAATTTATGCTATAATCCCCGTAAAATCATGAATTTATACTGACACAAAACTTTTCATAGAGGGGTAGAGAGCCACATAAACAAAGCGGCCCTTACTGCCCCTCTGAAATCCCATGGAGCCTAAAGATTACATTAGTTTCCAAATTAATCAGACAATACACTTCCCACATATGTCTATTCATCCCTTAAAAGTAGCTTTCTGTATTATCTTCCACTCATTTTACTCAAATTGATATTTTCAAAACATACCAAGTTTACTGTTCCCTAAACATTACCTCAAACATATCATTTTTTAAAATGACTGTGACTCCTTAAAAAAGATCTTACTATCTTTAAAGGCATTTCTGAAACAAAACCTATTGTTCTAACATGCAAAGTTAGTTATTTTGATATGTAGTCTTAAACGTTTCTGCGTATTGAATGTTATGTAGTTTCAAAATTCTGGTTTGCACATGAAGTATACAATAAAAGTACAATATAAATAAAATAGTTTATTACAAGTATTTTAAAAGAGCTCTACAATACACTTTCAAAACATTTCATACAGTATTCTGTCTTTCAATATGAAACAGTTCACATAGGGAGAAAAAAATCTCAATATGTAACTATAGTCATTATTAACGTACTGAATTCATCTGTCATACAAAAATCATAGTAACTACAGACTGTTTCTGAGTATCTTTCCTGGTTTTATTCTCTCTGAAAATGGGAAAGAATAACATGTACGAAAATAAAATAAAATAAAAACTCCCTTCACCCTTCACTTCATTTATACCAAAGACTACAAAGCTCATGCCACAGCAAAACCTAGATAAATCACTTCAAAATTTCAAAAAAAATATCAAAACCATTTTACTTAAATAAATATGGATCTATTTAAATAGTTAAAAGAATGCCATGTATCTTACAGATATGTTAACTTAGAAATTGAATTAAAAACTTCAGGTTTCAACTATTCAGAAGCTGCATAACAAAGGAAAATATCCTAAAAGGTAGTTTTTGCAGAGGAGAAGAAGAAACAAACTTCATTCTTGTTCATAATGAATAAGCTCCACTGCACTTAAACTTTCTGCCAGCCCAACAGGCACAATGGGCAAAGCTCTCTACTTACCAGAAAGTGTAACTACAGATTCTATTAATAAAAAATTGGAATTACTTAATTTGAGCTAAAAGTAATTTTCAGTCTCTTATATTTAATGTAATGAGAACATGAATTCCCGACAAAACTGCTCGTCTGAGTTATTATCACATCTTAGAGAACATTTCTTTTACTGGTGCAATATGTACACTAGAAGCAAAGGAGACTGAAACAGATACTAAGCTCGTTTGTAATATTAATGATAATTTCTTGTCCTCTTTTCTGGCAAAAAAATAGTTCAGTATTGTATGAATTTGCCAAAAAAAGCTAGAAAAGGCAAGGGATACACAAAGAAGCAGAGATAATGAAGTGGTGAAATGGATTAATTGATGATAAACCCTGCTATTTTAGCATTGTCTAGTTATATTTTGTCATAAAAAGGGAAAAAATCTAATTTCTCATCCATAGATCTCCAAGCACATTACAAAGCAGTTAAATTTTTTGTTAACTGTTCTATAATGTCACATCAACATTTTTGCTCATTAAACTTTTCCCCCTTTTTCTACTTTCTTCTTTTTTGCATCTTTTATCTAAAAATGTTATTTTTTTAAAAAGTATGAAATAAATACAGCAAGTATCCTTTGATTGTAACATATAGGGAGCCAGAAGAAAGTAAAAGGACCACTTTTTCTGTATTCTGGAAATTACCTTTTTATCTTTACTGTTCTGATAGTAATCATTGGGCACCATAATGTCATAAAATACTATACGGGAAAAGGTATAGCTTTTAAAATATCTGATTCACAGAGCACTGCAGATTGCTGCAACACTATTAATACGGTAAGAACGTGTATTATAAATTAACTTAGGAAAAGAAATGCAAAGTGGCTTTTTTCTTCCATGATTTTTTGTTTTAAACATCTTCTCACATTCATCACTAATTGTATCAGGTAGACAGTTCTGAAGATAGTAAATTAACTCTTCAACAGGCCATCTCCATGATAGAAGAAGATAATCCCCTTCAGTCAATTGTTCGGTCTAACATAAGCCTTTCAATAATTATGCAACCAAAAATTTTAATATGTCATTTCACAGGGCATTATCCAGTTTTGATAAAAACAATATATTCTCCGGTTGTTGCTCAGTGGACCTCAGCTTTAAGCTCTCTTTAAAGTGAATAAGGTGATGTCTTTTCAAATGTGGGGCCTGTCTGAAATTCTTACCACAAACTAAACATTCAAACGGCTTCTGTCCAGCATGCATTAGGTAATGTCTTTCAAGCTTAGAAGGCGATTTAAAAGTTTTAAAGCAGATACTGCATTGATACAATTTGTTAACGTCACTTTTTTCAGTACCTTCAGAAAATTCATGCCAATAGCTGTAACAGCTTTGCTCCGTTTCCAGCAATTTACTACACAAATACGGCTGTGTGTTTCTATTGCTGGTATCAAGAACAAAGTCCCCTGACTCGACTTCAACTTTGATTTCAGCTGCTTGGTTTGACTGAATCAGCTCAAATTCTTGAAAGCCAGATGCCTGTGAAGGTGTTTGAGAATAACCCGAATAACCTACAGGCTGAGAAGACTTAAATTCAATGTGATCTCCCTGATGATTGATAAGTTTGTTCAGGTTTTCAAATTCTACCTGGCAAACGGGGCTTTTGTAGGGTCTCTTTTCAGTATGGGTGAGCTGATGTCTTTTTAAGTGAGCTGACTGTCTAAATGTCTTCCCACAAACATTACAGCCAAAGGGCTTCTGTCCCGTGTGTATAAGATAGTGCCTTTGAAGTTTGGATGAAGATGGAAAGATTTTTTCACATCTGTCACATTTACACACTTTGTGTCTGTTATGTATATTTTTAGCAGCAGCTGAAAAAGCACAATGAAGTACTTCTGGATTGTCAAAGAAACCATCGTCTGATGAACGATAAAAAGTGTCATCTTTATTATGCAGTGAATCATCGATTTTTAACATGCTTTCACCGGTAAGCATACCTTTTAAATTAAGTCCAAAGTCGTGAGGTTGCAGGTGCTCTTGCCAAGGTAATGGCACAGCTAACTTTCTTTTCATCCGATTACTAAGTGCCTTGTGCATGTCAAGCTTGCTATGGCAATCCTTGAAAGGTTTAGTGGAAGCATGCTGATCAGAACGCTGATCTCTAGCTGCAACCAGGTCAGGACTTTTAAAGTGACGTGATTTTATTTTTTTTCTGTCAGTCAGAGAAAAATCTGTTGCCTTTCCCCCAGTACGCTTCAGCTTCATCAGGATGTTATTTTTCATGCTGACTGTGTGGCTGCATGCTGTTGTACCATTATTGGAACTTTTGCCATCTCTCAGATAACAACATTTGTGCAAATTTAGAACCTGCTCCGTTTCAAAACACTTCTCACATGCTGGGCACTGAAAGGGTACAATATAAATCGAGTGAACATCATGTGGGTCGTTCTCCTGTGACTCGTAAGTGTCAGCATTCTCAAAACTATCCCTCTTTCCTTCCAACAGGTTCTGTGGTCTGGGATATTTAAGAGTTTTTGCTTTGTATAAAATATTGGGGAATGTCTTATTTCTGGCGTGGAGCTGTTTGTGCTTCATGAGTTTGCTCTGTATTTTAAACCCCTTCTGACAAAAGCAGCACTGAAAAGGCTTTTCTTCTGTGTGTGTGAGCTGATGGATTTTCAAGTGTGTTGACTGTCTGAAAGATTTACCACATGAAGAACACTTAAACGGTTTCTGGCCAGTGTGAATAAGGAAGTGTCTTTCTAGCTTAGATCTTGATGGAAATGTCTTGTTACACGATTCACAAGCGTGAGTTTTCTTTCTCCTTCTGGCACCGTGTAGACGATCTGCCTTCAGGCACTGATGCAGCATCCACCTCTCTTCAGTTGTAAAAGATTTGCAGCACATAGAACATCGAAATATGCCATAAGTGACCCTGTCTTGCGCAAAATTCACAGAGTTTTCTGCTTGCTTGGTATCATTCTGATAATTTTCGTTATGAAGCTGCTGATGCTTTAAGAAAGTGATTAAGTTTTTGAAGTTTCTATGACAAACAATACACTTAAAAGGTAGATTATGGGTTAACTGATGCCTCTCCAGGTGGACTAGCTGTCTAAATGTTTTATGGCATACATGACATTCAAATGGCTTTTGACCAGTATGTATCAGATAATGCCTAGCTAATTTTGATGGAGTTTCAAACTGTTTATAGCAAATGTCACAAATATATGGCTTTTTCTTGGGTATCCTGTCAGCTGTTACACACTGCTGAACTTTTAACATTTTTAAAAAGCAATTACACCTTGCCTATTGTTAGTTTCTTCAGATAGGTATTTCAAGTGAAATCATCAATTGCACACTAAGATGAAAGGCTGTAGAAGCAGCAAATTTTCTTAGGAGTGATATTCTTAAATCCCACAGGTCCCTAAAATAAGAAAGAGAGTATTATTTTAGCCTGTATTAATATATAATTGCCTAAAATTGTCTCATTTTCTACATAAGAGACCAAAAGCATCTAGATTAGAATACTCATGATTTAACTCTGCTTAAAATGCTTTCCTCATAACAGAGTAATCACCTGTTATGTTACATGATACAGAAAAACTAGACTACTTTCTAGAAGAAACAAACCAGTTTAAAGTCATCTGTGCTGTAACGCAGATGTTTAGTCCTGCACGTTACTTCCAAATAATATACAGTTCAGCTACCTTATAATATTTAGGTTATGTACAAATAAAGCATATTCAAAAAAAACCAAAAAAAACAACACACAAAAATTTACACAAGAAATTTCTCTCCTACAGCAGTAATTCTAACTCACAGATATAATATTTATGAAAATGAGAGAAAGAGATGAGAACTAGCAATTCCTGGGCTTCAGAAATAAAAATTAAATGAATGCAGTGTTAGTGAGAAGTAAAAACTAACAATACACTGAAACTAAGTACAAAGTTACTAGTCACATTTCTGCATCTTATCAGCTCTGTCTGGAAGAAACAGTAGCGTAATCATTTTTGCTTTGTCTCAAAATGGCATACACCAGAACCAGGCAGCAAGAGCAACAAACTAACCATAAACTACACCAGAACCAGGATACTCCCCAAAACAAGCATGAACACAGGCTATGTTCACTATCTCACCACAGCGCTAGAATATCAGAGTTCTGATACCTAACCATGCACATACTCTGAATACATCACAAATACAGAGGTCGTTATCATAATTCATCACAATGACTATTTTAGTCTAAGCCAGGATCATGAAATAGTCAGTTTTAATTCTCCTTGAATTTTCAGCAGACAAAAAAACACTTCGGCAAGCTACTGTGTCTCAGCTAAGGTATAATGAATTGCAAACAAGAAATAATAATTTTGCAAGTACCCGAGTGCATGAAAAGTTATTAAAATATTCATAGGAACAGCTAGAAAGGACCTCAAGCAACCATTTAGTCCAAGCCTTCCACTGTGAAGCCAGCTCATGTCTAGACAGCCTCCAAAGTGGTCTTAACAGCTTCTGCTGAAGGAGGTTCTTTAACCTCAGAAGGGTTCCTGCTCCAATGCGTCACCCTCTCGCAAAGCTTTTCCTTGCACTCAGCTGAGCCTTTCTGTACTACAAAGTTATTTTCATTGTCCTTCCCCCTGTGAACCCGGAAAATAACTAAAGTGTTCTCCGTCACGATTTTATGTATTCAAAGTCTCCCTTCTCTCCTCTTTTTTTTTTTTTTTTTAACTAGGAAAATTCTGATTTTTCTAAGTATTCCTTTTAGGTCCACTTAAAAAAAAAAAAAAAAAAGAAAAAAAATTAACTGATTGGTCTTTTTAATCATCTCTGGACTAATTTCAATTGGTCACATCCTTCGTAAATTGCAGCATCTAAGACAGATTAAGTATTCCAGTCTGCAAGAGTAGTAAGAACAACAGAATAAAAATACCTCTGTGGTATTACCTAGATCCCCTTATAAAAAAAGAAAAGATGGAGGGAGCAAACTTTAAAGCAACAGCATAGTACTTAGGACTTGTAATAACTTTGAGATACACAATACGTTTCTGCCGACTATAATTTGTGGCATTTTGGTACTACCACTCACAAGCTGTATATTCTTTCTACATACCAGCAGAATAAAAATTAATTTATTCAGTGTCTCCAAAAGCCCTGTCTCTTCACAAAGAGTTAACGTCCCTAGTTTTTAAAAATTCGGAAATATCTGAAAAGTCCATTCAAAGTCATTGCAAAGAATAAAAGCCTACTGCAATTTAAAGCAAGTCACAATGAGATTCAAGATGGGCATAGAAGGCTGAAAATATCTGGTGAATCAAGATTTTTCTTAAGCTTAATGAAAAGAAACCTGGTCATCTCATAGAATCATTCCATCTCTAACAGATATGTTCCTATATATTTGTGGGCCTTATTTAATAACTTTTGGATGTACTCCTTAAGTGCAGTTGTCACTACACTGAGGAGTTACCTAATCCAACTGGAATTGTTCAGGATAGGACTTATCAATGCTATGAAGCAGCTGAGAAAGTCAACTTTTCCTTTGCTATTCTCTTTTCCTGTAGAATTTTAACAGCTATTCGGTTTCAGTCTTCTTTTGAAGATGCAAGAAAACACAACATTCTTAGGAGACCCCCTTTTCCTCCCAGCTGTTGTCACATCATGTGAAAGCAGGGCGTTTAGACAGAGTATGTGTATGACACCAAATGCTTTCTAGTTTGTGCTACTGTGAAGCTAGAGACAGGTGGGCTGAGAAAAGGCAAAAAGCTTCTCTGCTACGCTGGAAATTTCTGTACAGCTCAAGGCAGCTTCCATTAGCAGGGAAGGAAAACCTCCTGAGAAAGAACTGTAAAGACTGATGAATTTTAGTTAACATAGTGTCATACAAATCTAATTTACACATTGGGAAAAGTGCTCAAACAGTATAGCGACATGCAAAGAAAAAAAGTCTGAAGTAAGAGACAACTGTGGCATATTACACAAGGGATTTTTTATTTAGTTTATAAATTTTTTAAAGATTCTATCTGGCGAGTAGGAAAATGCTCTGTAGTACAAGGTGTCAAAAGCAGAGTAGAGCTTCTTGCTGTGGTCTTCTTGCCCTGTGAATGACTAAAGGCTCAGATGAGGTAAACTTAGGGGATGCAGGGGAAGGAGAAAGGAGCTAAGATGGGCATTACTGTGTGGCCCAAATATATTTTCAAATCCTATTTACTAAGGACAGACTTCTCCGTATCTATTTCAGGGTGCTCTATGCCTTGCACATCTAAGGAATAAACACGCTGCTGCTGAAGATCAAAGAGCAGAAGACAAGCTTGGAATATTGTCTCCTGACAGCCTTGGAAGTATACAGGCTTGTCCTAATTAGAATCAGAAAATGTACTTCCCTATATGATAAGGATTTAGTTTGTGGCATAGGTCCAATTTAATATTAAATTGACACTACTCTTCATCTTGGCTGCAAGGTCGTGCAGAAAAATAGAATCAAGAAGTAATGCAGGCCATTGAAGGTCCACAGAGGACCCTCCTGAGTCTAGTATTATTTAATGATTAAGTAAATATTATGTTTATTAATATTACAGATGGCAGCAAGCTGCAACAAAATGAAAACATGATGGAAGAAAATTCTGAATTCTAATCCAATCTTTACTAATCAGAGAAGGTTTAAAAAAAAAAAAAACAGAACAAAAACAACATGGGAAGGGAACTTTAATAAGAAGAAACACAAGCTTTTCTATTTAGGCAGGAATAATCAAGTGGAAAGGGAACAACTTACTAGGTTATAGTTGTGCATAAAAGACCTGGAGTCCAAGTTGGAACAGAAGCTGAATATGCCAACAGCATGCCATCCATACCAGGATGCGTAAACAGAAGTAAAGTTTTGATAGCACATAAATCTTCCATATTACTCACTACTATTTAGAATTCAGCTGCAGTAGTCTATCTAGTTTTGCATAGTGCCCTTCAGATTGAGTCAAGTATACGAACTAATTGGAATGAGTCCAGAGAAGAGGATCAAGCATGATCAGAGCTTAAATGCATAATGTACAGGAAAAGATTAAAAGTAATTGGGAATGTTTAAGTTAAAATAGAGAAGACCTGATTAAAAAGAACAAAAAAACCCCAAACCAAAACCAAACATAAGGCCAGCTCTTTAAAGAAAACAGAAATAAGCTGTTCCCCAAGCCATTTACAGCTGTGACTAGAAATTCATTCAAATTATAGTAGAGGATTCAAGTACATTATTTTCCTTAGAGCTGCAAAATTTTTCTTCATGAGCATACAAATAAGTTGTATGGGGAGATCGCTCTGCCTCCAACACCGGAGGTTTCCAAAAACGGTCATACAAACATCTCTCAAATTCCCACACACCCATATAGTTGACCCTATACAAGCTGAATATTCTGGCTTGCTTTCCTGTGACTCTTCAATATAATTGAAAACAAACCACTGAAGAATTTAAAATTTGATATATTGCCAAATTTGCCACTGAAGGATTCTTCCGCATTGTTATTGGTATATCCTCAGACCCCTGAAATAAGCTAACGCTTATAGCTTTCCAGACACAATTACAAGAAAATTAATTTTAGTAATAAATGTGTGAAGAAACATAAGATGTATGTAACATCCTCTTGTAATATTACCTACAAAACAGACAAGTGAAAAAATCTACCTGCTGATTTATGAAGCACATAGGATGCAACAGAGGCAGGACTCTGAGCACCGAGACAAACACATTGCACGCCGGATTTCCTCACCAGCTTTCCCTAGGGGAAAGTTCAGACTGCTGCGATGGGGGAACAAATTTCAGCAGAAATGTAACCTTCGCCTGTAGTTACACAGAAATCAGCATCATGCATTACTCCTCAAAGGCTCCTCAACGCTAACACCTCTCATTCTCCCGTTTTCCATGTATTTTTCAAAACATTTTCTGAAGCAAAACAAAAGATACATGACGGTGAAGCGGGGCTGGTTTAAGAACAAACCTCAGTTGTGCTGAAGGGGCCCGAAACTCCCGGGCCTGACACCACCACCACCACATCCCCCCCCAAGCAGGACACACCTAAATCGCGTTAAAAACGTAAAAGCAATTAGCGAGGCAGCCCTTACAGAAAGCAGACCGCGAACCGGCACACAATCGCGGACGGCTTTCTCG